GTGGCTGCTGTCACCATCTGCAGTGATCATGGAGCCCAAGAAAGTAAAATCTGTCACTGCCTCCATATCTGCCCCTTCTATTTGCCAAGAGGTGATGGGACCAGTGGCCATGATCATAGTTTTTTTGATGTTGAACTTGAGACCGTTTTTTGCACTCTCCTCTTTCACCCTCATTAAGAGGGTGAAACATATAGCACATTCAATTAATACACCCCCCACACACACACACATTTGGCTAATCAAGATCATAGCGAGAGCGAGTCGATTCTGTAAAACCTCATCTTTTAACGAAATGCTTGTGCCTTGGAGTTTGGCTGCCAAGCTCAAAGTGACTTTTTCAAGACCCTCCAAAGACACAGGAGGTGTTCAATGAAAAGGGCGCCAGTGTGTGTAGATCTTGACAATTCTTGCCAACTCCCACCGTGGGGAAAACACTGCGGCCCAGCTGGGTTCCCGTGAACCCTTCCAAAATAGAAGGGGGTCTGACAAAATATTGTCATGAGGAATATTGAATCGTATCCACCGGGAGCGTGTGCATTTCCCCGGCTCGCTCTCTATCTCGTAAGAAAAAGTAATGGAATAAAGAGTGGGGCACCCCCAGGCCTTCATCTTGGCTCAAAAGCCATCCAGAATCATGCCACTGGGCACCTTGGTCAGGGGGGCTGGGCTTGTGACTGCAAAACAGAAGGGGGGGGTCCAACAGTTTGGCCCTGTAACGGTTTGGAACGACAGCTCCTAGAAGTCTCCTCGCCCTCCCGAAGTAACGTTCTGAGTCCCGTTCCTTTTTCGGGAAGGTAACGCGCCGAAGCCTGGGTGCCTCCGGGACACGTTCCTTTGGCAGGGAGGACGTTACCCGAACTCCTCCTGGCAGGGCTCCGCGGGCACTCTCTCCGCCGGCCCCCCTGCGTCCCACTACTTGCTCCGGGGCAGTTTCGTTTTTCGTTCTGGTTTCGTTTTCTCGGCCGCGGAAACGCGCAGCGAAGATGATGATCTGGAAAGGGACGCCTCTGAGCGGGTATATAAAGGGAAGCATCTCCAGCCCCGACGCGCCAGATCGCGTTGGGCGAGCGGGGAAGATTTCGGAGGCTTTTTATTCGGGTCCTTTGCGCCTGGAAAGCAGCGGGAGCGATGGTAAGCGGGGCCCGGAGCGCCCGGCAAGGGGTTGCCAACGGAAACAGAGACGAGGGCGCCTCTGCTTTGAAGGGGTGTGGGGTTTTACGCACACAGCCGGGCCCCCCACCCCGGGGTCGGAAGGTGGCCCTTTCCACTCCCGGCAGAACAAAAGAAAAAAAAACTTTTGGCACGACTTTTAAGACTTAACACACTCATTTTTTTGGGGGGGGGCTGCTTTTCTGGATGACAGTCGACAAGTCTGGGTGGGGGCGCTCACCCTGAAATTAAAACTCATTGGTCTGAGAAGTGCCCCGACATTTGCTTCTGAGACTGTGAAACCTTTTTTGGGGGGGGGGAAGAGGTCTGTGAAAGGCAGAGGAGCCCTGAAGGCTTTTTCATAGGGCATCCCCAGTGAGTCGGTCGTATTTTAATTCGTGTACAGTTTAATGTACAGTTTAACTCGTGTACAGTTTAATGGTTGCTGTTTTTTTTTAAAAAATCTGATTGTCTTTTTAATTCTGTTCTTTTAATTTTGTGATCTGCCTTGGGTCCCCCACATCCGGAGGGAGCAAACGAATGAAGGGAGCAGAAGTGCACAAGTTGTGTGTGTGTGTGCACACATACACACCCATTGTGGCGTGGTGGATAAAGTGATGGATTCTGGAGGCCTGGGTTAAACTCACGGGGGGGGGGCGGGTAGGCAAAAGGGAAAGGTTTCCCCCCCATGACACCAGGCATGTCCGAGACTCTTGGGCGCGGTGCTCATCCCTCTCTCCAAGCCGGTAGAGCCAGCGTTTCTCCGAAGACAGTTTCCGTGGTCACATCTTCTGATTGGGCAGTGTGGGGGGGGGCTGTGGCCAAATTCTGTGTGGCCCCACCAGAACGAGGTTCGTTTTTCTCCTGGCCAGTCTTTTTCGGGGTCCCAGAGCTTGGTAAAGTCACTTTGCTGGAATGAGAAATCCCAAAATTCACTAATCAGCGAAAATCATTCTCAAGCACTTGTTGTGCACCTAAGCAAGAGAAAATCCTGTTATAGCTCTCCATTGACTATTATTCACCTCCCCTTTTTCCTCCCTCCCTCCAGGCCCTTCGTCTGAACGTCAAGCTCCTGACCGGAGAGCTTCACTCCTTGATCACGTCACCCAGCAGGACCGTCTGGGACTTCAAGGTCCAGGTGGAGGAGAAGACAGGGGTGTCCCCTTACCAGCAGAGGCTGGCCTGCCAGAAGGGCACGTGCGTCGACCTGGCGGACAACACGCCGCTCTCCGCTTACGGGCTGGAATCCGGGAACACCCTCCTGCTCATCGTGAAGAACGAGGAATCCATCCGGGTCTTCCTGAAGAACGACAGAGGGAGAACCAGCACCTACCTCGTCCTCCCTTCCGATCTGGTGTCCCAGTTCAGAGAGCAGGTTCAGCGGCAGGAGAACATCCACACCGACCAGTTCTGGCTCGTCTACGAGGGGAAGCCCCTGGAGAACGGCCACAAGTTGTCCTACTATAAGATTGCGCCCAACGGCACCATCTTCTTGAACCTGCGTCTTCGCGGGGGCTGGATGGATCAGCCGAGATGCCCTCCGTGTCTTGGATGAGAGAGACGCACGCCTTCTGAGCTTGTCCTCTTGTACGCTGTGAACTTTCGTAGCATATAAATTATAGGAGCTGACATTTAGTCTGGCCCAAATATGGTTTCCATGTAGCATGTTCTCTTCCTGAATTGTTCCCCTTCAACCTGATCCTCACCAGCGTTTTGTGACTTTTAACAACGGCTGCGCCAAGATGTGTATCTTTTTCCTCTTCCCTCCTCCTCGCCTTTTCCTTTCGGGCTGCCTCTTTTCCTGCGCAGCCATTGTCATGGATTTGCATTTTTGTTTTGTTACGTTTTAGTTCAATCTTTGGTTTGTGGGGTGTATTTAGGAGTCAAAATTTCTTCTTCGGTGGTAAGGCCGCCCAGAGTCATACTGAGCGCTCAGTGGAGTGGTCCCTAAATATTTGAAATAAATATATAAATTCATGCAGATGATTGCCGTTCCTGTAAACATGTCCTGAAGCTTGAAGGGTAGAATAGAAAGGTTCCAAACAAATAATGTTATCTGTATTTATAGTTTTGTCTACCGTTGGCTCTGCTTGTACTTTCTGTTTGCAATACCTTTGCTGATATTTAGGTTAAATAAATAAAACAAGGGGGAAAAAGTCATCTTATTGAAGAGTACTGTGAATTTTTACATTTCCCATCTTTGGTTTCACTGAATAATTTGTGTTTTGAGTATCCCACAATGCAGGAGATGTGCCACTTCATCCAGTTCCCTTGGCCAGCCACTGAATAATTTGTGTTTTGAGTATCCCATGATGCAGGAAATGTGCCACTTCACCGTGAGGTGCACCCAGTCCCCTTGGCCAGTTGCAACCTTTCAATCGGACCTTACCTCGCAGGATTGTTGTGAGGACAAAATCATAGGTGGAGAACCTTGCACATCACCTCACATGCATGAGGGTGGGGAAACAAGAGAATAAATGCTACTAATCTCTACGTACATGAACAAAATTGGTTGGGGGCAATTAGTTCCATATGCGAGGGGTAGATCTGTTCCAGCTCCTTTGTGACGGACGTTTAAAATATTGGACTCAGGATGGTTTCCAATCCTCCCTGCCCTAAAGCTAGTCTGTCTTGCAGGGTTGTTGGGAGTACAAAAAGATAGGAACCTGCCATTTCTGTCTGGAGCTTTCTGGAGGATGTACCTTAAAAATGCAATAAAAATCTAAGAGCTACAATAACCAAGAAGAATTGCAGGATTTTGTGAGCTGGGAAAACTGGACCACACTTTATGGGCGTTGTGCTCTTTTGATGAGCAGAACGGATCTGGGTTTGTTATCCGTCGATGCCGAGGTGGGTGGGGGATAATGGGAGTTGTGGTCCATAACAGGAACATTTCCCAGGTCTGCAACCATTGATGAAAAGAGTCCAAGGAAGATGTAATATTTCACGGCTTTTAGAGATACGGGTTAAAGTGGGTGGGTGCCAAATATGACCTGTGAATAGAGATAAAATTATAGATCCTTTCTTTTGGATCACTATTAGGTTTCTGGCTTCAGAGCCAGAGGTTGGGAGTTCAATTCCTGCCTATATCTCCCGGGAGAAAAACCAGCCTGGGTGGCCTTGGGAAAGCTGCACAGATCCAGGGCGCGCACACACACACACCCAAAAGGGGAAGGGGGGAAACACTTCTGAGAGTCTCTACCTGGAAAAGCCTGGAAACAGGGTCACCCTAAATCAGAATTGACTTAATGGCATGTGAACATTATTATTTAAGAAGCGATGAGCTTTCAATATACACAGATCCAGGGCGCGCACACACACACACACACAAAAGGGGAAGGGGAGAAACACTTCTGAGAGTATCTGGAAAAGCCTGGAAACAGGGTCACCATAAATCAGAATTGACTTAATGGCATATGAACATTATTGTTTAAGAAGCGATGAGCTTTCAATATGGTGCACTTTTGAGTCCTCCTTCAGGTGTAGATGTTTTAAAACATGGGGGCCTGCTAGGTGCTAACCCCAGGTGTAGATGTTTTAAAACATGGGGGCCCTGCTAGGTGCTAACCCCCCCCCCTCTGTTCAGCACAGGTTAGGCCCCATCTGGAGTCCTGTGTCCACTTCGGGACACTTGAAGAAGGATGCTGACCAGCTGGAAAAAATTCAGAGGAAGGCAACAAGGAGGATCAGGGGGGCTGGAAACCAAGCCCTTGGAGGAAAGACTGAAAGAACTGGACAGGTTTAGCTTGGAGAAGAGAAGACGGAGGGGACTTTTCAAAGACTTAAAAGGCCATCCTACAAAGGAGGGGAAAGATGGTTCTCCATCACTCCAGAGTGCAGGACATGCAACAATGGGTTCAAACTAAAGGAAAACAGATTTTCCTATCAGGAGAAACATCTTTCAGAGCAGTATAGCCATGGAGCCCATGACCTCGGGAGGGGGTGAGCACCCCAGCGCTGGAGGTGTCTGAGAGAAAACTGGACCACCATCCGCCCGATCTGCTTTGACTCGGATTCCTGCCTGGAGCAGGGGGTTGGGCTGGATGGCCTCCGAGGCCCCCTCCCGACTCCATGATTCTATGAAGGAGCGACAATTCCCCAAAGCCCCCCAAATCTGACGTCATGGCCGGTCTTCTCGAAGGCAGACGGCCGGCAGAAGAAGGTGGAGGGACGAACCGGCGCTCTCTCCCATCTCCAGAGGCCAAGGGGGTGGCTGGGCCCCCCTGTGGATCCATCTGCCGCTTTGCCACGTGGCACAGGGTCCCTCTATTCGGCTCGGAGCACCTGGCATAGCAGGAGGAGGAGGAACCACCCAGGGGGGGTCCCTGGAGCCGAGCCAGCCAGGAAAAGAGAGGGTGGGCCATGGGCCGGAGATGCACTGCCATTTCGTGGCAAGAGAGGGCATGCCTGCCCTAAGGAAGGGCAGGAGCATCCGTGAGCACACCATGTGCGGCTCCCGAGAGGTGTTCCTTCCCTGCAGGGGGAAGGTTGGATCCAGGATGTGGGAGCAGGGATTGCTCTCCTGCTTCCTCGGCTCGAGAAGTGGGGAGCACCGAGGGGATCGGTGACGGCATCCGGATCCGTTCCTACTCCCCCCACCCCAACACTGGGAGAGACAGGGCAACAGCAAGGCAGGGGCCATGCGCCTCTCGCGCATCTGAGGAGGGGGGGAAAGGAAGAGGGTGTGAGCCATCGCCTCGACAGCCTTACGGTGGGGCAGGAAGGCGCAAACCATGGCCTGCTGGGATTACTTCTTGGAGTTCTGGAGCTACGAGACCCCCAAAGTGATCGTGGTGAGGAATCGACACCTCGGGGTGATCTACCGGCTGGTCCAGCTTCTGATCCTGATCTATTTCATTTGGTGAGTCGCTCGGTCACGGAGGAGATGGATTCAACCAAGGGTAGATGGGGCTGGTAGGTTTCCTCCCCCCCCCGCTTTACACACATGCGTAAGCAAGCCCCCCCCCCCGAGTGTAGTGTGGTGGACAGAGTGGTGGGCTAGAACTCAGGGGGGACCTGGGTTCAAATCCCTGCTCGGTTGTGATACCCAGGGTGGTTTAGCAGACAAAGTGACAGACTAAGACTTGGGAGGACTGGGTTCGAATTGCCACTCAAGCATATATACTCACTGGGGGTGTGGAACTGGTAAAACCATGCTTTAAATACTGTACCTCACTTACCACAAACACCCTGTAAATTGGTTCCAAATCCACGGTGCAGAACCCATCAGCCTCGGGCCGTGGAAGCGCATGTCTCACGAGGGTCGGCATTTATCACTCTTAAATCTATATACGGCTACTAAACTGGACTTGATGCTCCATGCAATGTCCCTTCCAGCTCTGCCGTTCTAATGATGATGGCGACGGTGATGAGACCAACCCAATGCCTTATCTTTTGTACCTTGCATTCTACCATTGGCTTAGACAAAGAACTTGAGTGCCAGCGGGTTAGAAACAAAAGCTCACGTTTACAGGCCTTCTGTTATTATGCTGAGAGCTTCTGGCTTAAGAACAATTTTAAAAAGAGGGTGGGGGATGAATAATATTTTGCAGGAAGTGTCAGGCGGGCGATGCTCACGCCTGGTGAATACCGAGCATCCAAAGTTGTTATCAGCGGGCTGAAAGGATCAGTGGAGGCACCACAGATCGGTGGCACTTGGTGGCTATCCCTCAAAGAGGTCCAGCACCTTGGGCGGGCCTTTAAAGTTTGGGTGAAAACCTGGAGCGTATTTGCTGCCCAGCTGACACCACCGGATTCTGCGGCCACAGATCAGTTGTGCACGGTGTGCAGGGATCATAAGAGAGTGTGTGTGGGGGAATCCTCAGCTGACACCACCGGATTCTGCGGCCACAGATCAGTTGGGATCATAAGAGAGAGAGTGTGTGTGTGGGAATCTCGGTTACAGGAGAACATCAGGTTTGAGGGAGAGTATCATCTTAGCCATTATTATGAAAATCTGTCTACCTGGACAACTTCATACCTACTGGTGGGAAGCGTATCGCTGCCTGAGATTCTGCCCCATAGACCCTACACACCGGATTCTGCGGCCACAGATCAGTTGGGATCATAAGAGAGAGAGTGTGTGTGTGGGAATCTCGGTTACAGGAGAACATCAGGTTTGAGGGAGAGTATCATCTTAGCCATTATTATGAAAATCTGTCTACCTGGACAACTTCATACCTACTGGTGGGAAGCGTATCGCTGCCTGAGATTCTGCCCCATAGACCCTACAGTCTGATTCATGGGTTATGCCTGAAACAAAGACTGAATGGGACGGTACGTCCATGGCTAAGGCCATGAAAGATGTCTGGTTGCATAGTCAGAAACCAGTTTTGGCCATCTACTGTGTGCCTGCCTTCTGCTGATCTTAATTTCAGGGGAAACTGGGTTTTTGACTCTGTTCCTGGTCTTTACTGCCAGGTACAAGGTGGGATTCCCCTCCTCCTTCATGCATTCCTGTGAGTCTTAAGCTTTAAACTGCCAAAAGCAGAGCTTGGAAAGTTACTTTAATAAGTAATCAGTTGCTGTTACAATTCTATGCTGCCCCCGATGATTAGACTTGCCTTAGAACTGCAGAGCTAGAAGGGATCCTATAGATCATCAAGTCCATAGGGAGGCCCCGTTGGGGAATCGAACTCCCAACCTCTAACTCTGCAGCCAGATGCCTCTACCACCATGCTCTCCAACAGTTAGGTACTATTATTTAAATTCCTTTAAGATACAACTCTTTCTCTTTTAGTTTTGCAAAGGTAACTACAGTAGTTACTTTTCAGTTACACAAAAGGCTTCCTCTGAGTAGGATGCTGGGAGCTACTGAGCTGTGTTACAAAAACATTTTGGTGTCGCAAGCTCACTAACTATAAAAATAACAGTTGTGTTCCAAAAGGAGTAAATCTGGTCTTGTCAAGTGAATCTTCACAATGTAGTTGATGGAGTTACTGCAAAACTTACAGTAACCTTAGTTACTGCAAAAATGAGCTAATTGCAAGAGGAACTGATTATGTGTAAGGAATTATTTTCATGCTCTAGCCACTGGAATTTGTCTCGTGCTTGTCACAGGTACGTGTTCATCGTCCAGAAAGGTTATCAGGAGAGCGAGTCGGGGCCAGAGAGTTCTGTCATCACCAAGGTGAAGGGCGTCACTCGATCTCAGAACAAGGTGTGGGATGTGGAAGAATACGTGAAGCCACCAGAGGTGAGGGCATGGGGACACTCTCTCCAGGCAGGTGGGCAAGGAACAGGCTCCTGAAAAGATCACACCCCAGTGGGAGGAAGACTCATTGGGCATGCCTGTCTTCTCTAAGGCGTCAGGTGTTACCTGGAAGAACGCCCATTGGCCAGAGTTGGGGGAAAGGTCTGCTCCAAACTCTGCAGAACCAGACCTGGAAGGGAATGGTGGGTTCCTCTGCCTGAGGGAGATGGCAGCTGAATTTATCATCCCTGCTACTTAGCGAGGCCCAAGGTTTGGGCCCTCCAAGCCCTGGTTCCACTACATCACCAGGAGCACAATTATGGGGTGGGCCATTGTGATGGTCTTGATGGTCTTCAACATTTGCCACACCCCTGCTTGGATAGGGTCGTACTTGGTGGAGAGGCTTGATGTTCTGTGCCACCCCCACACCCCCCAAAAAGCTGGGGGCTCACAGAGATGGTGGGTCAGGTGCTCTCTCTGCTCACCTGGTGTCTTCTCCACAGGGAGGGAGCGTCTTCAGCATCATCACCCGCGTCCAGGTGACCCCTTCACAGACTCAGAAGACTTGCCCTGAGGTACAGAAGGTCAAGAGAGACAGATTTGGGGGTGGCCCCTGGATGATGGTCTAGACCAGCCCTCTCAGGAGGTTCCCCCGAGAGTTGGCCAAGCACATTTCAGGAACTGGGCGCACGGAAAGGCCTCAGAAGCGGGGCGACAGGGCTGTTTAGAGCCTCTGGAAAAGTGGAATAGCCGTGTTGACACCTTGCCTCCAGTGGCATAGGAACAAGAAGCCAAAGGAATCCTAATAGGAAGGTGGATCAGGGCCTTGCCCTTGATCTCTTGCCATTTACTTGCCCACACGTACAGAACCAATCTGGGGAGGGAGATGGATCTAACTCCATGCAGGACCTGAAGGGCACTCAAAAACTCAAATTCTCAGTGATTTTCCACATCTTGCTGGTGCTGTTGAGCTATGGCATCTAGACACCCAAGGAGAGGCAGGAAGGGAAGGAGGGAAGAGGGCTAAGCTAAGCTAACAAGCTGCGAACAAGACTGTTTAACCGATTTCCTCCTCTCTCCCTGTGTGGCCAATTAGTGCACATTTATCTGGGGAAAACTGGATTCCCAAGTATGACTTCACCATGAGTCAGTTCTCATTTTTTCTTGCTGTGTAGTTGCACCCTTACTCACTCTGGGAAGACCCAGTTGAGTTGCGCTTGAAGGATAAAAATCATTTCTAATTTTTCTAATATACAGGTCAATCTGCACATGCAATTTAATGCAAGCTGGGTTGCATTACATCCTTTTAGATTCCCCTCTCCCTCCCTCTCTTTTGGTGAGGTCTAAGCGGCCACCCGAACATCTTGGCCAACTTCTAACCACGCGGTTACATCTCCCTTCTTCCGCAGAATCTGAGGGCTCCCTGCAGATCAGACCTCGACTGCACCGAGGGCGAAATGGACATGCTGGGAAACGGTGAGCCGGCCGAAGCAAGAGCAAGCGCCAAGCAATGCCTGCATCAGGGAGCATTGACACCCAGGGCAAGGCCACGCTGCGGCCTGAGGCAAAGCGGGGCAAGAGGGCTGCCTTCTCCCCTTCTGTGCCCCAAAGCCAGTTGGGGCCAAGGGTTCAATTCCTCCCCCCCAACAGTACTGCTATGCATGGCCCTGATCTGTGGCAGGATAGTTCAGAGCGAGTGCGGGGTCTGCCAGGTGACCCAAGGCCCTCTTCCCTAATGCCACCCGGTATTCTTTGTCTCAGGGCGCAATTACACCGGCAAGCTGGAGTGATTTGGCTTTGCCGTGGCTTGATCCACAGTCTCTTTTACAGCAGTATCGGGTTTAGATCAATGGTTCCTTGTGCTGGCCAGGATTTCGGGGAGCTACAGTACAGTCCAAGAACACCTGGGAATGCAAGGTTGAGAACCGCCGGTTTTGATGGTCATGTGAAGCCCCCAGATTGTTTCATTACCACACTGGCCTTCAATCCAATGTGATTTGATACATGCCCATTGCCTTCTTCCTTTGATGATGCCCACTTGGGTGATCGCTGACACTCCTTTCTAATGTTTTTCTTTGTGCAGAGGTGGTCTGGCGCTAAGCTACTGCACTCAAGGAGTGATAAGGTGATCTGGTGCTAAACTACTGCACGCAAGGAGTGATAAAGTGATGTAGCACTAAACTACTGCACTCAAGGAGTGATAAGGTGATCTAGCACTGAACTACTGCACCCAAGGAGTGATAAGGTGATCTAGCGCTAAACCACTGCACCAAAGCAGTGATAAGGTGATCTAGTGCTAAACTTGTTAGTTTGTCTTTAAAAACAACAACTTGAGGGTAACTAAGGAGAAAGAGCATGGGGTAGTTTGTTCCTGCTATCCCAACACATAATGCTTCAGCTCCATCATGCCCCCCTCCTTTGTGAACAGCCACCTATCCTTTTTTGTGCCTCTAGGAGAGAAGACAGGGAACTGTGTCCCCTTTAACCGCACCAAGAAGACGTGTGAGATCATGGCGTGGTGTCCTGTGGAAGATGGAGCTGCTCTCAGGTACTGTTGAGAAGGCAGAGTAGAAGCACCTTTAACATGTTTTGTGAACTGTGGTTCTCTCTAGCTTGTGTTATTTCTTGATCTTTTTTTCTCTGCTTGCTAGTGAGAATTTGGCAAAGATGGCACCGGAGTTTACAATTCTGATCAAGAACAACATCCATTTCCCACGCTTCCGCTTTTCCAAGTAAGAACTTCAGAAAGTCCGCGCTTGAGGACGGATGGGTTTGCAAGACCCAAAATCACTATCCCTCATTATACTGTGAGAGAAATTCTAAAATCAGGAAGGCCTAGGGCACCTCCAGTTTAGCATGAGGCTCACCCCCCCAATCTTTATCTCCTGGTCCAAGGACCACGGAGTTTACCAGGGATGTAGGTAAATCTTTAGGTTCAAGTGCCAAGATCGAGAGAGGGGGCAGGCCCGTAGAGACTCAACAGCACAACTCAGACAAATGGTTTGCAAGTCAAGTTCCAAGTCCCACCTCAAGGAACCTCTGAGTCAAGTCCAAGTCAAGTCACCAGTGCGACTTGAGTTGGACTTGAGAATGAGTCACGACTCACATGTCGCCCACCCCTGTTTACCAGAATTTATACCCAAACCTTAAAAATCCACTTTCCTTCTCTTTAAGAATGCCGTTTCAGTTTAAGACATGTTTGCACCTCTTTTAAATGTTTAAGCATTACATTAAAAAGACGTGGAAGGGGATTGCCTCCTGTGGCTTGCACTTTTTGTTTATTTGTTTCTCAAATGCTAACTGCAAACTTCCGACAGCGAGGCTCTTGCTAGGGAAATCAGCTTCCAATGGGAAGGGCTGTTTTCTCAAACTCCAAACCCTATAAAGACCAGTAATGAAAAAAAAAAGCTTTCAGGACAAAAAGGAGCCAGAATTCACAGGGGGGAAAAGCACTGTACTGAAACACGAGGAGCGTCGTATGGATGGCTGGAAAACTGCTCCAGAATGTGATACTTTTAGGAGAATAAAAAAGGCCCTTAGATAAGGATTGATGTCAGCTGACCACCTCTTTCTTCTGTGTCTTGGGACATTTGTGAGAACAGAGAGTTTGCGCTTCTTCTGATCCACCTTTGTTCGGCTTCTTCTGCAGAGGAAACATCAAGGACTACGAAGATGGCTACCTGAGGTCCTGCACCTTCAACGAGACCACTGATCTTTACTGTCCCATCTTCAAGCTGGGCTTCATCGTGGAGCAGGCGGGAGAGAACTTCTCTGCGCTGGCAGAAAAGGTGAAGAATGGTGTTTCTCGCCCTTTTTGCAAAGCCGACCTCGTCCTTGTGGATACGGTGGTCATGGAGACCACAGGCCTCCCCACAGAAGTCAACTCACTGTGGGATGTCACAGCAGGGCTATTGTGAGACGCCTTGCTTCCTCAGGGGGGACGACAAGATGGTTCCCCTCTCCCATTCCATGTAGACAAACCAGACACCAAATCTTTCTGCTGCCTCAGAGCTGGGAAATATTTGGGTCTTCTGAATCACAGCTCTCAGAATGTCATTTTCAGCCATGGATCAGGCTGGCCTCTCCGACGGGCTAAGCTAAGGAAGGCAGCCTTGTAGTCATTTGTTCTGGAAGTTTCCAAGACCTCAGAACAATCTGAGGTGGGAATTAGTACGTGGTGGGCTCTCTGACAGCTCCCCAGAAATAACATTGAATTGCTGCGGAGACAGAGGTTGGGAGTTTGAATCTTCATCCCTTGCAGGGGCTGTGATGATCTCTAGCATCCCTTTCTGCTCTGCTGTTCCAAGATGAGGATAATGATGCTGGAGAAGAAGGAAAAGTTGCTTTTTAAGCACAGTCTCCATAGCAGGTGTGGTTCGGAGAAGCAACTTTCCCCATTCCTGGTTGGGAAATAATCACAAGAAGTATCTTTACGCCAAGCGGTTCCTCTGCTTCTAAGAGAAGACTCTGAAGGTCTCGGTAAACGTCCATCAAGGCGTCCATCGTTAGGGGACACGGAGAAAGGCAATCCTTGTGGTTCCCCGCTCTCAAACCGTGAATGGCCCGAGAGAGATCACAACCAGCACTTTGAGCCAAGCTTGAGAACAGGACAGGATCCGCGGAGGTGGCACTGATTCCTTCAGTGCTAAAAAAATATATGAATTGCTCATAGATGGAGATTACCGAGGACCCTCCTGGCGGTGTTTCAAAGTGGTGCTTCATATTTCGATCACTCACATGGAAACGTGGCGGGTTGGCCAGCCGGCCCACCCACCCCACTCCCTGCCATCTTGGCTGGATGGCTCCTTGGGGCAGCTCTTCCCAGTTCCCGGTAGCCGGCTGGCCTTTAATTGCCTTTCTTTGCACATCCATCGGCCCGCATGGCTCCCTCGAGGGGAGAGAGAGAGAGAAGGTTATGGATTGCAGCAGTAATCAAGCCGGGTCTATCAGCCCTGCCGGCAGCTGCTAACCCCATAATTGACAGAAAGAAGCAATCAAGGGGGCCCTGGGAAATGCTCTCCGGGCCGATGAGTACTTACTAGAGGGAGGCTCTCCCCCTGCACGCAATGTTTATCTCTGTACCACCACCACAAGGCATCGATGGGGTCTGATTTTCAGAAACTAAGCAGAATCAGACGCGGCTAATATGGAGATGGGAGACAATTCGGGGGTGGGACTCTGATTCAGGACTTCGACCCAACGACTTGCCATGGACCCTGGAGACAACCTGCTAAGGGTCAGGAGAGAATCCTGCCTAAGGGGGAAAAAAAAGCCCCATGGAGAACCACGGCGTCCTGTCAGAGCTGACCGGGTGGGGAATTGTCTGTAGAAAGTTTTTTCTGTGAAAATGGCTTGGCTCTGATATTTTCCTCCCTGCTGAAAATCTTCTTGGATGAAAACCCATGTCATGCAGATCTGTTCTCCTGTTCCTGCCACATTCACAGAGGAGGGTTTGCAAACTCATTAAAAAAAACATTTTTCAAGGTGGTGGAGCCCTTTTTGGCTTGCGCCCTTGTAAACGACAAAACCAAAGAGGATTCTCTTTTCCAGGGAGTCTTCGCTTCTCATGAGATGGCCAAAGGATTGGAGCCTCAGCTTCAGGATCTGTCCTTCCAGTGAGCACTCAGGGTTGATTTCCTTCAGAATTGATAGGTTTGTTCTCCTTGCAGTCCAGGG